TTTTTTTTTTTTTTTTTTTTTTTTTTTTTGGTACCAGGGATTGAACCTGGGTTCTTGCGCTTGCAAGGCCACCAAACCGCTGAGCTAAATCCCTGGCCCTAAAAGTTTAATCTTGATAACAACAGCAAGATTTTAGGCATTTTTAACTTGCATTAGTCCCGTACTTTTTTTCCAGTCCCATGATAGCCTAGAAAAACAGCAATCTCGATGAAAATCACTATTTTAGCAACTTGTGGAGGAGGCAGAACAGGGCTGGACTCCCGGCAAAGCCAATCTCACAGGTAACTGTTTTTATGTGATGTGACTGGCAGTGTTTTTGTGCTGTTTGAATATGAGTAGTATCCCCAAAGGTCCACATTACAGGCCTCCTCCCGGGGTAACAGTGTTGGGAGGTACTATGGAATTTAAGAGGTGGAGCTGGGGAGAGGTCCTTAGGTCACTGGGGGTATATACCTTTGAAGGGAATTGTGTGGCCCCAGTCCCATCCTCTTTTTCCGCTTCCTGGATCATGACATGACTGACTGCTATGCATGATATTCGCTTCTGCCACAATTTTCTGTCCTGGCCACAGGCTCAGAGCAATGGGGCTCCCTGATGTTGGGTTGGAACCTCTAAAACTATGAGCCAGAGTACCTTTCTAAGTAAGTTAGGTGCTTTGATTGTTTCATTATAATAATGCAAAGCTGACAAATACCTTTGGAAAAATCTATATGAGGCTTGTTATTATGGCAGCTGACTCAGAACTCTTTGGATATGTTTGTTAAAATTATCTGTGGCCACTGTTGTTTTTTATTTTTTACTTACTTTTTGGTTTTTTGGGACAGAGAGTTTAACTTTTTTCATCTCCCTTGCAGCTAGGGTACAGACATGGGATCAAGGCTCAACCAATTTTACATATGCCAGATTTATATTCTGAAAAGAGCAATAAAGAAACAACGAGCATCCATTTCCTGAAGAGACTGGCAGCAAAAGTATTCTAATTTCAATCATGTATATGATACCTAGTGCGACAATTTATAAACCAGAGCAAGTGAGTTGTTTAACCAGTGCCAGTTGCTGTGGGCCTTCAGTGGAACCTCATGACTTAGTGTGTGAGGTTTTGGATATGTATATCTTCCAGAGATGACTCTATGGTTCTCTGGGTGATTCAGCGGGCTACTTAATATTCCTTCATGAAGTCCTTTTCTGTTTAATCTAGTGAAATGAGTTTGGTTGTGATAATTAAGATCCTCAATTGATTAAAGAGGTTGGAACATTTTTCCAAAGAGAGCAGTTAATGAGCTCTACTATGTCATTTAGAATTGTTTTGTTTTTTGAGACAGGGTCTCACTATGTAGTTGAGACTGACCTGGAACTCACTATGTAGCCCAGGCTGGTCTTGAACTCATAGCGATCCTCCTGCCTCAGCCTCCCGAGTGCTGGGATTACAGGCATGTGCCACCACGCCCGGCAAGATTATCCATTTATGACCTGTCACTTTATTAACTTTGAGAATGCTTTTATAGCCACCTATTGAAATAATTGTTATTGATCTCAGTTTTAAAGATGAGGGCACCAGGAGGAAGGTAAATGACTTGCTCTAGTTTACACAGTAAGAAGATGAATGATGACTCACATCTGTGTCTTATGATTTCAAACCTTCATATTTTTCTCCACTTCATCTCAGCTATTCTTAAGACAAGAAGAGTAAATTAAATATTTTATTAATTTTTATTTTTTGGTACTGGGGATCAAACTCGGGTCCTTGCCCTTTTAAGGCAGGCAGGGGCACCACTGAACTAAATCCCCAGCCCTAAATTAAATGTTTTAAACAATTTTCAGATGTCATGCCAATATAGAAGTTTCTGAGAAAAAAAAACGTTAGTGTTCCTGAAAGTCCTTAACAATAATTTTAAAATTTTTATTAGAAATAAGGAACTCTGAAGACAGTGACGTTTCCTACCCACCTCTTCTACCTTGCAAAGTGGATCTCCGGCAGGTCACCATAATTCCACACGATGAGTGGAAAAGGATTCAGGATAGCCTGGGTGGTTTGACAAGAGAAGCAGCGGCTCTTCATGCAGAAAGAAAGGCAAAACAAGAAATGCATCTCCGATCCCAAGAAGTGGTGAAATATTGGACTAATACATATGCGGTAAGTATTAATCCACAGAAGTTCACTTGGCACTGAAGAATTCCTCTTGGTTCTTAATACTGTACTTTGTAGATAATTATATGCATAAAGTGTCAGAAAATGCATCGAAACATGGGTGTTTAAATGGGAGTCATATACAATAAGCTAGGTGTATTTAAAGTGAACATTTTGATAAGTTTTGGCCTGTGTATATATCCCAAACCCTCTCAAGGCAATGGAGATAATGAGCATATTGGTCACCCCAAAATTTCCTTGTGTCCTGATTTTCTTCTTCCTACTCCTCTGTATCCCTGGGTCTCCACAGACCTACTTGCTATTACTGTTGAGTTTATTTAGCACAGTTACTTTAAAATCCATCCTTGTTGTATCAGTTGTTCATTTTTATTGCTAAGTAGTATTCCTGTTGTGTGATAAACTGTAGTTTGTTTATGTGGTCACTTGTTAATGACCAGATAATATTTGACCTCAACCAAATATTCACATTTGAGTTTTCATTTTTTGGCTATTAAAAATGAAGTTTGGCTACTGTGAGCATTCAGGTAGAAGTCTACATATGGACATTTCTCTTGCATAACTATCTTTACTTTTTCAGTACCCGAGATCAAACTCAGGACCTTGCGCTTGCAAAGCAGATGCAGCGCCACTGAGCTAAATCCCTGGCTCAGTAAATATCTTTTGTAGAGAGTGGAATTCTTCTGCACTTATTTATAAACCTAAATATTAAGGGCATATATAAATTATAATCTAAAATACTTAATTAAAAAAAAATTGGAGCCGGGTGTGGTGGTGCACCCCTGTAATCTCAGCACTAGGAGGCTGAGGCAGGAGGATTGCTGTGACTTTGAGACCAGCCTGGGCTTCATAGTGAGTTCCAAGTCAGTCTCAACTACATAATGAGACCCTGGCTCAAAAAACAAAAAAATAAAAAATAAATAAATAAAATAAAATAAAACTTTGGCACATAAAGGTTGGTAGAGTGATACATCTCCTCTGTTTTGTTTTACATAGAAGTAGCACACTATACACAATACCTTCCATCTCCATCGGTGTTAAAGAATAATAAAGGAAGATGCATCTTACCAGCAGCAATACTTACCATAAACCCAGTAGTAAATCGGGGCTAGGGATTTAGCTGCCTGGCACTGTGCCTGCCTTGCAAGTGCAAGGTCCAGAGTTTGATCCCCGGTACCAAAAACAAAACAAAACAAAAACAACCAGTAGTAATTAAAACGGGGATTAGGCAAAGATGTTGACAAAGTATATTTCGGATGAAACGGCCTAGAACAGTGGTTGTGAACCTATGGCACGTGTGCCACAGCAGGCTGTTTATGTCATTGAAACCTCTAAGAGGGTCACCGTCACTGAAGCAAACCTGTGTCATATATGAGAACTCAACGTATGATAGAAATGTCATTGTAAACGAGAAGGAAACGGATAGGAATTTGATAACTAATTACTGTGACAATTGGCAGATGAAAAATGCTGAAATTCTACATCAATTGTACAAAATATAGAAAATGAACTGTAGCTGGACTAAAGGCCCAGGTTTGAAAGCAAAACAATAAAATATTAATATAAATTATAGAATCCCAGAACATAAATCCTAAAACTTGTATAACTGTCATCACAATAAGTAACTTGTTCTCCAGACACAGAATGTGTCCACCGGAAGGGAAGAGAGACCTCCTGTGATGTAAGACCCTCAGTAGACTCCTCTGATGTCCAGAAGAGCATATAAAAATATGCCACTATTGGTTTCTTAAAGAAGCAACATACTAAGATATATATTTATTGTTTAACTGGAGAGAAAACTTGAAAATACACATAGAACCTCGTACTAGCGGTGATCTTAGAGTGAGAGGAGATGGCAGATGGAAATCAGGGTTGGAGGAAGAACTTCACTGTGTACCCCGATAATATTTTTGGGTTTGAACCACGTGAAAGTGTGTATACCTAAAGAATTCAATTTCACAAATTAGCTTGGGCCAGGGATTTAGCTCAGTGGTGCTGCATCTGCCTCACAAGTGCAAGGTCCTGAGTTTGATCCACAGTACCAGAAAAAAAAACAAAACAAACCTCAAAACTATAACTTCATATTTATTAAATATGCAAATGCAGTAAAATTCATAAGGACCATTCAAATTATCATAATGTTAAATTTTGGAAAAGGTAATTTGCAAAATGCAAACAAAGGATTGCTTTGGAGTTGGGGCTATAGCTTAGTGGTAAAGCCCTTGCCTGTCTGAGGCCCTATGTTTGATTCCTAGCACTGCAAGATAAAAAAGATGGCCTTTGTCTTTTTACAGGGGATGAAAGAACAGAAACTTAAAGCTAAAAAAAAACGTGATGAAGAAATTGAAGCTGAAAGACAAATCCTGGATCTGGAGGAGGAAATCCACAAACAAGGAGAAAGAAAAAAGGCCATTGAATATGCAAAGCAGTATCAGTTTTACCAGACAGAAAGAGTGAAGAACTTTCATGTATTATTTGTATTTTCTTCTCTTTTTATATATTCACCATGCATAATTAATTACAATCTCTATATATGTAGATGTTATTTTCTTAAATGCTGCAATTTTTTTGTAGTCAGCACTTCTTCTCAGTAGAGTTATGAAAGAACGAGATGCCCAGGTTGAATTCTGTAAGAGTAAGATAAGACCAGATACTCAGTGGGAAGAACAACTGAAACTCAACACTGAAAAAGCTTTTAAAGAAGAACAAGAAAAAGCAGAAAAACAACGCAGAGAAAGAATGGCTCTTGCCAAGGAGCATCTAAAACAGTATGTACACATAAATTACCTTCTTTGTATCGTCCTCATTTTCTCATGATGAATACAACTTTATTTTCTAACTACAAAGTAAAACATGCTAGCATATTTAATAGAAAAAGTACAAAGAGGTTGAAACTCACTGTACACCCTCAGGCAGAGTCGGTGTCTAACAGCCTGAAGGGGTCAGGCAAAAAAGGTGCCACAGTGAGGCCAAGGAGAGGGATTTGACCAAGAACCATAGATTTCCATGTTGAAAGTCACTTAGCAGAATACCTATTTATTCTGTGAAGCTCCCGTTCCTTCTCTAGATGGGTAAACCTTTCTCTAGGAAGAGGCAGGTCCACCTCGCTTGAGAATATGGTACAATCCTTTCCTCAAGTTCGCTGTCTGGGGGAGGAAGGTAGAAAATGGAAAACAAATCAGAATGTGAGGAAAATTTCTTAGAAAATGTAAGTGGAACGTGTGCGGAAACCTATACAGATCCTAATGGTCCCATCAGCTTCTCCCTACAAGGAAAAATCATCATAGGGTACTTTGCACCTCTTTCCCCCAGGTAAGATGACCTCCAGAGAGAGAAGCAAGAGGATTGAGGGCTTGGGTGACCTCCTGCAGTGTACAGATTTCAGTGCCATCCTAGAACTGATACTGCAGTGTAGACCACTCCCTTGGCCCCAGCTTCAGTATTGGCAGCTCTATGTCTCCATTTCGGTGTCTCACGTGTAGCTCAGACTTCAAATGTCCAGCACAGAATTACTGTTTCCCCATCCTTACTGTGGACCCTTATCCATCCACCTGTTCAAACCAGAAACCTAGGAATACACCCAATTCCTCATTTTCCATGACCCTATCAGATCCATCAGGAATTTATTGTATTTCCTCTCTGAAACAAATCTTGAACTTACTGCTATCATCTTACTCCAAGTCACTTTCATATATTCCGTGGATTATTCTATCCACCTTTTTTGTTTGTTTGGGTTTTTTGTGTTTTGTTTGTTTGCTTGTTTTGTTTTTTTTGAGACAGGGTCTCACTATGTAGTTGAGACTGACCTGGAACTCACGATGTAGCCCAGGCTGGTCTCGAACTCACAGCGATCCTCCTGCCTCAGCCTCCTGAGTGCTGGGATTACAGGTGTGTGCCACCATGCCTGGCTTTTTTTTTTCTTTTGTTGTTGTTTTTTGCAGTGGTGGGATGCATTAGCCTTTTAAATGGCATCATATTCTCTCTCTCTCTCTCTCTCTCTCTCTCTCTCTCTCCTCTCTCTCTTTCTTTTTGTACCGGGGATCAAACTTAGGACCTTGTCCTTCTGAGGCAGGTGGCGACACTGCTGACCAAAATCCCTGACCTGACACTAAGATATTTTTGTAATTTTCCTTTCCTTTAAAAAAATTTTTTGGGGGGCTGGGGATTTAGCTCAGTGGTTCTGGTGACTGCCTCGCAAGCGCGGGGACCTTACCCATGCACAGAATACGTAATATTTTTTTGCTAAAATAAGGAATGATAGATACAGTGTATGCATAGATATAATGTTAGTTCTGGATTTTCTAAGAAACGTTAAAAGTTGTAAATTTTTTTATATCTTGATTTCCCTTAAAGTAGCAGTTTAAAAACTTCAAAAACTTACTTTCACAAAATTAGATTTTTTTTTTTGTGCTGGGGAATCCAACTCAGGACCTTGTGCTTGCAAGGCAGGCGGCAGCACCATTGAGCTAAATCCCTGGTCCATGGATATTTTTTTTTATAATGTGCTTTAAATCTTGTTTGTATATTTGTGATTTATTACTATAATATTGATAGGTATAAAAGTGTTAAATAAGGAAATAAGAAACCAAAAACTTGTTGTTCTAGGACAATTATAAACATGGTTACTCTGTATGGCTGTAACTGCACCAAGGACTCTCTCCCTCGGATTCACTGGCTCACTTAACTAGTTCTCTACTACAAGGGGAAGGGGATTTCCTCTCCCTGAAGCTGAGAGGACTGTTCCTCAGCTGTTTGCTTAGATTGTGATTTGTCTTGTGCCATCCTGTTGAGGAAGGGAAACCAGTTGGACAGATAGCAGACGGCGTAGCAGTGGAGAAGCCTGCCCGCAGACTTGACTGGCTGACGGGGGCACGGGTTTCCCACAGGCAGGTGGACGTGCTGGGTCGCAGCCAGGAGAGGGGCCCTGGCTCAGGCAGCTCTAAACCACCAATGTGAAGGCTCCTGAGAGTGACAGAGGTGGGGTTGGGGAGACAAGTGGAAGAGCTGATGGTGGAGATCAGTCTCCCAGACCGGAGGCCCCTCAGAGAGGTCGGAAGGACTTGCACACAAGCCCCCGAAGCCAGTGTTTGGAGGCCACAGGAGGAATGACCGCAGGGGGGCCAGCTGGGTGAGGGGACCTTTGTTGCTCTCCTTCCATCAAATGCGGCCTCTTAGGGCTCGGCCTTGGCCCTTAGCATATGTAGCACCAACTGGTGTAGGTACTGGAGATTGGGGTCCTTTCTGTAAATAAGGTCACCATTCTGCCTTTCGGTTATTCAGTTAATTGATTTCTTTCTCAAGAAAGGGAATACTCAGAGCTTGTTTTGGTGAGGAATAAAACAAATTTAGAGGCAGGGAAAGTACTGACGATTCTGAATTTGTTCTAGTCACTGTTCTTTTCCCCAGAGAAAATCACAAATTCTTCCTTAAGCGTCACATCATCCCAGTTTAAATCTAATTTATTTCCTTAAAGTATAGCTTATTTTTCTGACTTGTTCTCACTCTAATGTTTTTGCTTTAGAATAAAGGAACATGAAGAAGAAAAAGAAAGGAGGAAAAAACATGAAGAAAAAGATGCCGAGGAGATAAAGCGACAAAATTTATTGTATGAAGTAGAAATGAGAAAAAAACTAAAAAAGAAAAAAGAAGAGATAGATGAAAGCAGAAAGCTGTTTTTTGTAAGTTTAAAATACAAAAGCTCAAAAAAGTCAGATACCTTTTTTTTTTGTACTGGGGCTCTAACCCAGGACCTCGCGTTTTCAAGGCAGGCGCAGCACCACTGAGCTAAATCACTGGCCCCTAACTTTTAACATATTAAAAAAAATAGTGGAATGGAAAATAAGTCTCCGTGCAGTTGTGTTGCTAAGGGAGAGCACCTGTGTGGGAGCTGCGCTGCTTTGGTTTTGTGTGTACCGTACATGCTCTCGTGTAGGGAGGAAGACAATGAATTTTCTTCCAAATGAATTTTGTTATCCTCAAAATGACAGTAGTAAGGGGCTGGGGATTTAGCTCAGTGGTGCCATTGCCTGCCTCGCAAGTAAAGGTCCTGAGTTCGATCCTTGGTACCAGAAAAAAAAACGAGAGTAGTAAGGATTGTTTGATATCTGCTGTGCTATTAATATCTGCTTAGTAAATGGTAATATTTTATGACAGTTGCATAATTTATTTTATTTCATAATTTTCACATTTTTCTTTAAAATTAGTTTTTATTCTTAATCTGTGCGAGCGAAACATCGAACTTCAAAAGCCTTAGAAGAATAGCAGTTCGTTGCACCACTCCGTCTGCCTCCTGCATGCAGCCAGCTTCCCATTTCTGTACCTGTTTCCCCTGGCGTGAAATTACGTCCTAAGTTCATGTTCATTCCCTCTCTTTCTCTGTCACTCTCTCTCTCTATCTATATCCTCACACATGCCAGACAAAACTCTACCACTGAGTTGTACCCCTATGTCCTATATTTACATTGTTAAAAAATATATTTGATTCTGAAAGATACACATCTTGTTTTATCAGTTTTCGTGATTTTCTGCCTCTCTTCCCTAGTAGTTGAGGATTTAGCTCTTGTCCTTTATAGCTCCCTCCTCATCCCTCACTCTCCCTAAATAATTGTCAGTTTTACTTAAATCATTATTGTGACTATGTAAATATTTTTCCCTGTCAAGCTAAGCAACCTACTGTGATTTTATTTCTTTGATTACATAAATGTTTATTTTCCCATGGTTAGTATGACTGTCTTTATTTTCTTTGTTTTTGGTTGCTTTGATGGCTCTTTTATTTTTACCCTCTTTTTGGTGATCAATTTTGATGACTTCAGTTGTTCCATATGTTTAATAAGTTCTGCTAAGTCGGGCGTGGTGGTGCACACCTGTAACCCCAGCACTCGGGAGGCTGAGGCAGGAGGATCGCTGTGAGTTCGAGACCAGCCTGGGCTACATAGTGAGTTCCAGGTCAGTTTCAACTACATAGTGAGACCCTGTCTCAAAAATACCAAATAAATTCTGCCAAATGTGTGTTGATGTAGTTTTTAGTTTTCAAATGTTCAGCCAAGCAATATGAACTGCTCCGTGTTACTGGTTTTCTTGCCTGTCTAGTCTTCCCTGCTGTTTTCCTTCTGGACCCCTTGCTCCCTAGGCAGATCTCCCAGCTTTCATCCTGGAACTTCCCTGTGCCATTTCTGGGACCACACCTACCTCCTCCCACCTTCTAAATGTGACATCTTCCTCTTCTTGGTTTACACCCATCTTGTTGAAATACGTCCTTTGAGTTGCCTCCTAAGAAAGGATGTATGGGAGGTAAATTTTTTTCCTTCACTCCAGCACTCATGAATATGGCTTTAGGAGGAAATAGGTTTTTTAATTTTTTATTTATTATTTTATCCCATTTCTCCCTCAAAACCTCTCCCCTCCCTAAATCTTTGTTTCCACTTTTTCCTTCTATTTTCACTTCTTTTCTTATCTCTTCCAGTAAAACTTTTGAATTATCTGAGAAATTTACATTCGGAGGTCATACTTGATACCCAGTTTGACTGGTTACAGAATTCCGGGTTCATAATTCAGAATTTTGTATTCATGCCTTCATAGCCCTCCAGCATCCAGTATTGCTACTGAAAAGCAATAAATCCTGCCATTTGTAGTTTTCATCCGGTGTGGGGGGTGATTTTTCTTTTTCTTTTCTCTTTCTTGAAGAGTTTTAGGGTCTTCTCTTTATCTCGGGTGCTCTGAAAGTCACAGTGATGTACCTCCATTCCTTTTATTGGGAACTCAGTTGATGCCTTCAGTCTAGAAACATATTTCTTTCACATTGAGAAACATTTTTATTTCTTAATTTTCATGTTAACTTTTTATATTATGATGAAATGCCTGAGGTAATTAACACATGAAGAGAAAAGGTTTATTTTGGCTCTCACAGTTTTGGAGGTTCCATTGCAAGATCAGGGAGAGCCAGGGACTTGGGTCTCTGACGGGGTGCTGGGTGGGAGAACAGCCTGTTCATTGCATGGCCAGCAAGCGAAAAGCCAGAGGCCTGCTTTCAAATTGCCACCGAGTCGCTTTGATCCCAATCTGGTCACAGCTGGCTAATTTTCTTTCTACTTTGAGAGTTATCTTTAATTGTATATTCCAAACCTTCTGTTGATTTTCTAATTTTAAAAAAATTTTTTGCAGTGCTGGGGATTGAGCCTAGGGTTTTGCACTGACAAGTGCAACTATGCCCCTTGTTCTGAATTTTTTAAATATTAGCTGTCATTTGCTTGTAATCTTATTTTTTTCTTTTTCATTAATACTGTTCCTGGTTCTTGAGTACAGTGATTTTTATCTTTCTAAGTTACTTTGGAATAGGATAAAACCTAGTTTTGAATGCTAACCCTGCCATTTGCTAGCTATGTACCCTTCACTTGAAGCTTTCAATCTTTAAAAAAAAAGAATTAGTTCGGTGTTAACTCAGTATTTTTTTCATTGTAAAACATCTATATGTGCATTACAATAATATTGGGAAAATAATCACAAACTAAAACTTGTAACAAATCACTCAAAATAATAATCACTTTTAGCAGCTTAGTAAAAATAACTACAGTTAAAAAAATAAATTTAGTGTTTTCATTGTGTGTGTGTGTGTGTGTGTGTGTGTGTGTGTGTGTGTGTGTCTGTCTTTTACTTTGAAATAAGACTCGCTAAGTTGCTAAGTTACCCAGGCTGGGTTCAAACCGAAGCTCCTGCCTCAGCCTCCCCGAGAGCTAGATTACAAGTGTGCACCACCATATCTGGTTTTGAGTGTGGGCTTTTAAAAGTAGCAGTCCAGAAAATAGAAGCGTACTTAAGAGCATCTGGCACACAGTAGACTCTATAAGTTTTAAATATACTGGAAGATTAAATGTTGCATCTAACAACTTTCCCCTTAAATTAGTCTACTCATAGTTACAAATAAACTACTATATTGATACACCCAGGCTGTTGGTTCAAAGGCACCTAATTTTAATGATAGTTAACTCAGGCTGGGGTCATGGAGTATGCGCTGGTATAAACAGATTTGTACTTTTTGGGCTTTTTGGGGAATCGAGCTCGGGACCTTGCACTTGTGAGTCAGGTGGCAGAACCACTGAGTTAAATCCCCTGTCCTTTTAAAAAGCAATAGTAGTGTATTTTAAAATTGTATGCTATAGCATTCACCTCTATTTTCTTCTACGAATACAGAAAGATTACTAACAGTGATTGAGCCTGGCAGGGGATCAGGAAGAGGGAGATGATAGTCATGGGGTAGAAGAACACTACATTTATATTAAAATATTTAAAATTTTGAACCAAGTGAATGCATTAAATATATAATATAGTATTTGTTGTGGTTATGCAATTTCATTCATTCATTCATTCAAGAGGTTTTTGCTATGTAGCCCAGGCTGGTCCTGAACTCTTGATCCTCCTGCCTCAGCCTCCCGGTGTGCACCAACCACCACATCCAGCCAATTATGTATTTTTAATGGAGCTATTTGAAAAGAAATAAAAAAATTAAAGTGTAAAAGTTACTCATTGTCCTCATACCCCAAGAGAACTGTTGACATTTGACATATTTCTTCCAATCACACATACATTATAAACTTATTTATATTTGTAAAATTGGAACATAATGTAATATTTTATAGTCTGCTCTCTCCCCCTACTTACTAATTATTTGTATCTTCCTGTGTCATTGAGATTATAGCTTATTGGAGCATTGTGTATCATTGTACATTAAGAGGTTACTTATATATTTTTTGCTATCATAATTAACTTTGAGATGAAGTACATGGCGCCTAAGCCTTTATTCACACATCTGATCATTTCAATGGAATAAATTTCCTGGAAAGAAATAAGTGGGTCAGAAGCCATGACCATATGACAGGCTCTTGGTAGATACTGGTGTGTTTAAAGATATTTTTCTTTGTCATAGAATAATATATATTTATTCCCGTAAGGAACATATGTCTGATAAAAACATCATCAAAGCTGTCGAACAGCAGCAGCAAGAAGAGGAAGATGAAAAGATTCGAATATTTATCAAAGCAAAAAAGCGTCTGGCACAAATGAGGACAGAAAAAGAAGCTGAAACACACAGGTAGGACTTTTAATTTGTATACTTAACAAAGTGCCATCTGAGATTATTTTATCATTTGTTTGTTTTTTTTGTTTTGTTTTGTTTTTTTGAGACAGGGTCTCACTATGTAGTTGAGACTGACCTGGAACTCACTATGTAGCCCAGGCTGGTCTTGAACTTACAGTGATCCTCCTGCCTCAGCCTCCTGAGTGCTGGGATTACAGGTGTGCGCCACCATCCCTGGCTAGATTATTTTATCATAAATCGAAGTTATGAGATTAGCCATTAGAAATAGAGGTCTCGAGCATTTAGTGACATGATGACTTGTTTGGGGCCTGTGAGTCGGGCAGCCCTGGGATGCTTGGACGTCTCTCTGGCCACTGGCTGCAAATGCTGGTCTGCTTTGTCAGAGAGGTGGGAGCTGGGGAGGGCTGGGTGGACCATGGTGTGCTTGTGGGAGCTGGAGCTGAGGAGACAGGCAAACTCACATGGGATGAAGAAACGACGGCGGTGTAGTCCCTAGGGAACCCCACATTTCAAGACCAATGGAGAGAGAAAATGCACACCAGAGAAGTCTCTAGAGATTGGAGAGAAACCAGAAGAAGGGAAGGGTCGCCAGGCCTACATCACCAGAGGAACTGGGGCTGGGCTGGAGGTGTCGTTCAGTGGAGCGGTCCCCGCCACACAGGGGTGAGGTCCTGTGTTCCATTCCCAGCACTACAAAACAGGGAGGAAGAAGGAAAAGAAAATACAGGGTTTAGGTAAGATTTTATAAATGAAGTATCACTCAGTTAGAGGTCGTGCTTCCTTAGAAATAACTGGGACAGAAGCCGTGACCGTATGACAGCTCAGTGAGCAGCTTGGGGTGGGTAGACTGCAGTGCAGGACGTTTCTCACGCTGTGCCCTGCGCAGCGTCCTCTGTCTCCTCCCTTGGTCTTCAGTGGTCCGTAGGGCTCTGCCGCTGGCCCTTTCTGCTGAGCCCATTTGCGTCTTTCCCACCTCATCTCTCTCACTGTGTGCTCCTCCTCCCTCTTCTCACCCACTGGACTTCCTCCCAGAGAGCAGGCCCTCGGGGGAATACTCACCTCCAAAGGACGTGTACTTTGTTCCATTAACTCTTAGAAATAGATTTAAAACTTTTAAATTTTATTTATTTATTTTTTAGACAGGGTCTTACTCTATGGTAGGCTAGCATGGAACTCACAGGGATCCTCCTGCCTCAGCCTCCCAAGTGCTGGGATGACAGGCATGCAGCACCATGCCTGGCTAACTCTTTTTGCTCAAATATTACTTTTCATGGAGGCTTTCCCCATCACTTAAAATCACATCCTTTAGAGAGCCCTTGCCCAGCATACTTCAATCCCCCCAGTATCACAAAAATCAATCTACAAATCACATCCTTTAGATAATGACCAAAAGAAGAAGAAAACCTACACCTTCTGCATTAGCTTTCTGTCCCTGTAAACAAATACCTGAATAGTCAACTTAAAAAGAGAGAGTTTTATTTTGGCCCACAGCTTTGGAGGAGTCAAGTCTGCAGTCAGTTGTCTCTTACATTAGGCCTGGGGCATGCAGCCCCGCAGCATGGTGGGGGCACAGGGATACGGAAGAGAGGAAGTGCCAGGGTCCTATAAGGGTACAGCCCCAGACTTCCTTTCAGAGGCCCAAACTGAAAAGTTCTACCCCTCCCATCAGCCCCCTCTTCCCCACTTATCACTAACTACCTTCATTGCTTGGTAACAGTGCTATTGTAATTATTTTGTTTTTGTCCTTTCTCCCAGCAATAATGAAAGCTTGGTGAGGGCACAGCTTTTTTTTTTTATTTTTTAGGGCAGAGATTTTTAATGTTTCATTCAACTTCTGATTATTATCCTTTTGTTATATCCTATTGATTATCGCAATAGTGTTTGGTACATTGTAAACAGTCAAAAGTTATAAAATACTGTTTTCAAATCCTAGCTGGAACTGGCTTTCCCACAAGGCTTTCTTCCTTTCCCTCCTCTTTCTTTGTCACTTTCTGGTGTTCCCACAGTGTGTGTCACCCTTCGCTTTATACAGTTCTTTGCATAAATGTCCTTTTTTCCATTTTGTAATTCCCTCAAGGCGTGCGCTGTCCTTTGATTGTTTCTTACATGCTGCTTTGTAAGTTCACTCAATAAGTGATTTGTCAAAAAAAAAAGACCCAAAAAACAAGCGATTTGTCATAACTAAAATATTTGTCCAGTTTCCCTTCCCTGTTTCTTTAGCAAAATGCCTTTATTGTTTATGATGTAGCAGACAAATACTTGGCTCTGCACTAGAAGAGAATCTGTCTGATCCCAGCCCTTGGGAATCTCACAGTATACAGGGAAAGAGACAATAAACAGATCAAATCGACACAGAGCCATGAATACCGGGTATGATGAGAGGATGGATTTAGATAACTTTTTTTTTTTAAAGTGACAGGGTCAATCCCAGGGTCCTCAAGCATGCTAGGCAAGCACACTACCAGTTAGCTATATCTCTAACCCTGGATTTTGATAACTTTTATTGGTGATTTCCTAGGTTTTATTTAAAGAAAGTCCCTTTCCAATCCAACATCTTCCCATGTTAGAGTAAGCAGGTAATCTAACAACATAGTTTAAAATTATTTCAATGTGGAGAATTGAACACCTTTTTTTCTACACTTACATAGTTATATGATACATAGTGTATTACTCTCTTTGGAATTTTAGACTACTTTATAGTTATAAAAGTGAGTTTCTTCACAGGTAATCAATGGATAAAGGGAACAATGAGTCTCTTTTTAGTTTTGTAAGAGATGATAAAATGTCTCAGATTTCCTAATTATATTGGCTTCATTACAGATCTGTTCATGAAGCTTTGACAAGTATGGTTACTTTGTTATAGGCTAATGGAGGAGCGGAGAGAAAAAATAAATCATTTTCTGAGTGAACTAATGAAAGAGAAACTTGATAATGAAGATTTGATTATTGCTAAAGATATTGCAGAAGCCGAGGCTGAATGGGAGAAAAATGAAAAAGAAAAGTGTGAGAAAAAGAAAGCAGATTTAAAAGCAATTGCAGAACATAGAACCATTATGGTAAAGAAACTGACAAATACAAATAGACAAATTTAAGACTTTTCTACTATGGTTTCTACCCCTTCTGTCTCTTTGACCCAAAACTTGCTAATGTGAAAAATGAAGTAAAAATTGTCTTCCTATCATTGTGAAATCAGACATTGTTTATTTTCTAACAGATGACATGACAATTGATTACAAATGAGATATTTGTAAATGCAAATACTCCTCTGTTTCAGAACCATCTTAATATACAAATAATTATTCTTTATTTAATGTGCTCTTTTTTTCCTCTCTATTCCTGGTACTAGTGATTAAACCCAGGGCCTTTTGCTTGCTGGACAAGCACTCTGCCACTGTGTCACACCCCTTGCTCTTTTTGAGACTTGGTCTCTCTAAGCTTCCCAGGCTGGCTTTGAACTTGCTATCCACCTGCATCAGCCTCCCAAGTAGCGAGGCTTCCAGACGTGCTATCGTGCCTGCCTCAGTATATTTTTCATATAAATGTTTTAAAGACTAACCAAGTTAAAAAAAAAAACAAATAACATTTCTGTATTTCTTAATCTTTTAAAAAAATATATCTTCTACATGACTATCATAACATTTAAATTGGATAATTTATAAACATTGTAGCAATTAAATTTTCACCTACAAATATTTTTCTATGTTGAGAAGCTCTTTTTCATTCCTATATTTTCTTTTTATTTTTTTTGAAGTATTGGGGTTGAACAGAGCTTTGCATATGCTATGCAAGTGTTCTACCACTGAGCTATATCCCCAGGCCTTTTAAAATTATATTTTGAAAATTGCCCATGTTGGCCACAAACTTGACAACTTCCTGCATCAGCCTCCAGAGTAGCAGGGACTGTAGGCTCCTGCCACCCACAATGCAATGGCATGAATTTTTAAAAAAATAGTGACTGGTCTGTATACTCTAATTAGATTTCTATTGAGTATTTCCTGATAATTCAAGCAAGAAAATAAGGCATGTGGAATCCATCTAAGTCCTTCCAGTTTTCTGCTACTGCTTTGCTCCTGGCTGACTTTCTGCTTGAAACTTTCTGACTCTTCCTTTTCAGTCAGAACTGGTTGCTAAAACAAGTTTTAATTTTCCCTTTGCTTTTGAACATATAGATGAAAAATAAAGAGGAAGAAGAAAGACAAAGGAAAATAGAATCTAAACAACAGCTCCTGGCTGTCATGAAAGCAGATCATATTTTCAGGGAGCAGGAAAAGGAGAAAAAACGCAAAGCTGATATCGAACGCCGAGAAGTCCAAGATGCCCATATTCACCAAATGGTAATGATTCCTACATGTTTACATTTAATTCAGTGTAAATGTGAAGTGCAGAATCTGTGCTGCTGTTCTGTCTTCTAGCCCGTTTCTTTTGTTGGGCAAGAACAAATGCACATTATGTTTATGATGCCATACAATATGTCAGAAATGTGAGGTTCCCACACTAGGGTTTTCTTTTACACAAATGTTTGTTATTCTTTAGTTTCTATTGTATTTTAGTAAATATTCAAGAAATGGAAATGCATGTGATAGTTTACAATAACCCCCATCTTGGTTTTACTTTCCCCCTCTATTGCTGTATCTAAGACCATGTTGATTGGGATCTCATGGGTTTCAGTTTGGAGGGGAGTATGGGGGTCACAGATGGTAGAGGAGCTGGCATTCAATCATTTCCAACTAAAAGCTATTTTCCAAAATGTAATGCCATTTTCCATTCCTACCAGCAACGAATAGAATCACAGGTTGCTTTACATCCTTACCAGCGCTTACTATTGTCACCCTGTAACATTAGCTTTTCTAATGTAGGATATGCTTTCCTGATCAACTTAGTCATTGTTCCAACTTCAGATTCTTGGGAAACAGGATGTAATTAATTTAATTATGTTACAAATTTAATTACAAATATTGACTAACAATTTGATCTTACTGTATTTCCCTGATGACTCAGATGATGAATATCTTTTCATGTCCTTATTAGAATTTGTATGATTTCTTTTATGAAATGCCTATTCAAACCTATTGTCAGTTATTTAATTGGGTTTTCTTATTGATGTTTTAAAAATTTATTATTATTTTGGTACCGGGGATTGAACTCGGGACCTTGCGCTTGTGAGGCAGGCGACAGCACCACTGAGTTAAACCCCCAGCCCCTGTTGTGTATATTTGAACACAATAAAAAATAAGTTTTTGTTTGTTTTGGTACTGGGGATCGTACTCTGGTTCTTGCGCTTGCAAGGCAGGTGGTGGAACCACTGAGCTAAAACCCCAGCCCTAAAAAATAAGTTTTTATGGGCCAGGAATTTAGCTCAGTGGTGCTGTCGCCTGCCACATATGCACAAGGTCCCGAGTTTGATCCCTGGTACAAAAAAAAAACCCTAATGAACATTAACAACAACAAATATATACAACATTTAGCATTTTATTCATCCCCTTTTTTTGGTTTTTGAGACAGGCTCTCGTTAAGTGGTCCAAGCTGCCCTTGATCAGATTTTGTAGCCTAGGCTGGCCTTGAACTAATGGCAGTCCTACTCCCTCAGCTTCCCACGTGGTGGGATTTACAGGTGTGTGCACCCTTACCCATTTTTAGGTATTCAGTTTAGGGGTATTAAGAACATTCACATTATCACCGAATGTCTTGCCCCACCCACGGAGTGCCTTTTCACTCTTTTAATACTATCCTGGATGCACAGAAAAGTTTTTTTGGGGGGTGTGTCTTTTGAGACAGGCTCTCACTATGTAGTTGAGATTGACCTGGAACTCATTATGTAGCCCAGGCTGGTTTTGAACTCACAGCGATCCTCCTGCCTCAGCCTCCTGAGTGCTGGGATTATAGGCGTGCACCACCACGCCTGGCCAGAAGAGGTTTTAGTGTTCATACATGGTTTATTCTTTTTTGTTGTTTTTCATTTTATGCTTTTGATGTCATACCTAAGACATCATTTCAAAGGCAAATGTCATGATGCCTTTTCCTATGTTTTGTTCTGAAACTTTTATAGTTTTAGCTCTTAAGTTTTATGTCTTTGAACCATTTCTAGTTAATTTTATTTTTGTTTTGTTTTGCTTTTTGGTACCAGGGATCAACTCAGGATCTTGTGCTTGCAAGGCAGGCAGTGGAACCACTGAGCTAAATCCCCAGCCCTAGTTAATTTTAAATTTATGGTTTTTTAGGTGAAAGTTCAGGCTTATTCTTTTGCACGTGGATATCCAGATTTCTCAGCACCATTTGTTGGAAAGACTTTTCTTTCCTTGTTGAATCAACTCAACAACTAGCACATTTGCATTTTTTTTTTAAGTACCGGGGCTCGAACTCGGGTCCTTGCTCTTGTGAAGCAGGCAGCGGAACCACTGAGCTAAATCCTGGCCCAGTATTTCTTAAAATGCTGTAGAGAAGACAAAAGTTGCTGGGCACATTTTCACAGAAAAGGCATTAAAACTACCTCATCTAGTGCAAATTAATGTAAACGTTACAAGACAAAAATTTCATAAAATATTGGTAAATTGACTTTTGGCAGATTGCCTATTTATTCAATTATATCTGTGATCAACTTATTGTTCCAACTTCAAATTCTTGGGAAACAGGATGTAATTAGTTTAATTATGTTACAAATTTAATTACAAATTAAAATTACCAATATTGACTAACAGTTTGATCTTATGTGGCTGGGGCATACTGGGGTGACGTGAGACAGTAGAGTTGAGCAGATGTATGTGCCCTTTGAACTGCCCGAAGTGCCTGTTTTCTAAATGTCTGAAACAGGATTCGAAACTTAGCTGCCTGATTTTCATCTAAATTTCATGCTTTTAACTATTTTGTTATATCATTGTTTGAAGATGTATCACATAAGGCTGTTATGTAAGCCTCAGTCATACTTTCAGCATACTATTCTAGAATCATTGGACAGTTTCTGAAATAAATTACATTATAGCCTATAGTTGTCAATTCTGAATTTGTAAATCAACCAGGTCAGAAAATTATAATTTTTTTTTTTTGAGACAGGGGTCTTGCTAAATTTCTAAGTTTCCCAGGCTAAGTCTGAACTTGGGATCCTTCTGCCTCAGCCTCCCAGAGTGTTGGGATTACAGGTGTGAGCCACTATGCCTGTCTATATCTACATTTTCAAATGCTACATATATTTACAAAGATAATGTTCTTATCCAATATTAAATTGCATCTCATTTCTTTCCCAAATAGGCCAAAAATAAATTTAATGCACTACAAGTGAAAGAAGCAGAATTAGAGTATTGCAGACATAGTGAAACTCTTTTGGCTGAAAAGGAGAAAGAATTTCAAGATTATGCCAGAGAAGTGATTGAACTTGAATCTGAGTCAACAAGTAAATATATTTACCCTCTTGTAAAAGCTGTACAGGAAGGACCTGGAGGTGGCCATGGACCAGCTTTTGTGGACAGAGGTGGATTAAGACCCAGCTATCAAGCAAATGATTTTGCTGGAGTCCAGCTCCCTTTTTATAATTCTCAGAAATCAAAATATAATTTACAGAAGTCTAAGGGAAGGTTAGGTTTTACATGGTAGAAAAATGTAAAGACTGAGAAGACTAAGTTGTAGCAAATCTGAGCTACAAATGTAATAAATATATTAGGTTAATGTAACTGCTTTTCATCTCAGGACTATTGTGCCTGCTTTGCTTCTTCATAGTATTTCGGTTGAAGATATATAAAACCTCACAGTTGACTTTTTTATTGTAAATACACGAGGTCAAATTTTATTCAAACTGTGCATTCACTGGTATCAAGTATATTCACAATCGTACACAGCTATACCTATTCACTGCGCCAAGGGGAATCAGTGTACCCACTAAACCATCACTCCCGTCTCCCTCTCAACAGCCTCCTGCACTCACGCATCAGCTTTGTGTCTAGGATTTGTCTGTTCTGTGTATTTCATATAAATGGAATCATATCACGGGCTTATCTTAGTATGTTTTCAAGGTTCATACAGGTCACACAAAATACAGTATCATACTTCATTCCTTTTCTGTCTGAATAATCCATATATTTCCTTCTTCAGCAAAAATGCTTATTTGCTCTATCTTTCTTTAACAGTAAGATTATTGAATATAGTTTAGACTTTGTAGTTTATTTTGTCACGTATATCTCATTAGGTATGTTCAAATAGGTATGTTTTCCCACCAGCTTGATCAGATTCAGTAGGTCTGAATGAGTCACATTTGCCTGCTTCACAGAATGTAAGTTAACATCATAACTACCCCTAAGTGTACAATTCCACAGACATTGGCGTGAATCTAGAAGTTTGTCATCCTGCACGACTGGAGATCCATCCGCATGAAGCAACTACTCCTACTGCCCACTTCCCTCAATTTCTGGGGATCACCATTCTAATTTCTGTGTTAGAAATCTGACCATTCTACATACCTCATGAGTGGAATCACAGAGAACTTTTTTGGTAACTATTTCACTTTGCATAATGTCCTCTAGTTTCACCTAGTGTGGTGGGTGCATTTCCTAAGACTGAATAAACTCGCGCTGTGTATTATGTACACCCCTACATGTACACATACTTACATATATATTTTATCCGTTCCTTCATAAATGGACCCTTGGGTTGCTTCTACCTCTTGGCTATTGTGAATAATGCTGTTGTGAACGTGAGTATACAAATTAACTCTGAGATGCTCTCTGTCCTTTTTGGATATACACTCAGAAGTGGAATTAGTCACATAATTCTACTTAAAAAATCTAGGACCTCCTCTTTTTTTATAGCAGTGGCACCATATTACTTTCACCAACACCAGCCAGCCTACACTGTGAGGTTTCAACTTATATTTCCCTAGTGATTATGCTGCTGAGGATGGGAGGTTGGGATTGAACCCAGGATTCTGCACATCCATATAAGCACAAAAAATTATATCTACCTTTAATGTCTACTCAAGGTCTTTGGTTAGTTTTTTTCTCCACCATCCCAGGACCTTTGTGCTAAGCTACTAGACCCAGCCCCCTAATTGTTTTTGAAAAAAAATTTTTTGGTACCAGGATCAAACTCAGAATATTGCACTTGCCAGGCAAGTGTGGTACCACTGAGCCACATCCCCAGCCTGTTTTTAAAATTTTGAGACAGGGTCTTAAGTCAATTTGCACAGAGTAGGCTTGAATTTTTAGATCCTCCTGCCTCAGCCTCCCAAGTACTGGGATTACAAGTGTGCAACAGCATGCCCAGCTTTTTTGTTCATTTTCATTGGTCTCAATGCTGTAGTTCTCAATATGTTCTGGATATTGGCCCCTGATCAAGATAACGATTTACGATTTGTTTCATACCTTAGGCTGCCTTTTCACATCTTTTGTCTATTCTTCTTAAAAGTATGTAGCTTACTTTTACACAGAACCATTTTTACTTAATGGTATCTAGAGACCAGAGCATAGCAGTGCATAATGACCCTCATTCCTTCTCCCAACTGGCCGAGTATTTTGTTTACTCAGCCACTGACACACAAGTATGTATTTTGGGTAGTTTTTAGTGCTACAAATTTCTGTAATTAGCAGCTTTATGTTGTCTCATGTTCTTGACAGGGTGTCTGTCTCTCAGATCCCTACAAATGGCAGTGCTGGGTGAAGGTATGAATTATATAGGGTATCATTCTCTGAGATCAAAACTGAAAAAAAAAAGTCTGAAGTCATCTTCTGGGAATGTTAACTGCTTCTTCAGTACTGAGATACATTCTAAATTTTGCGTTATTTCAGGACCTATTTCCCTGGTAGTTGGGATCAAACTCAGGACCTCGCACTTGGAGGTAGGCGGAGCACCAAGCTAAATCCCCAGCCCAGGATTTACTCTTTAATAGGCTGCATGACTGTTCCTAAGTACATGTGGGAGGGGGGTGACCACCTATACTTTCAAAAATGATGAGGTGGGTGTATGGTGGTGCATCTCTGTAATCCTGGTCTATCACTATAAATTTTCTATATATTGCAAGAGTGAAGATGCCAAGGGACAATGAATTCACAAGAGCAGCTGATGGAACATTTAAAATATTTCAAGGGAATACACAGTATGTGGCACTGATAAAACACCAGAGGTTGTTACTAGCTTGAGACAATATATTAAATGCACTTTGTTCTGATCATGTTTTTTGTAAAGCTGTTTTCTCAGTTGATGGGATTAAAACTCAAGTACTACACAAAGATCAATGTACTAAGGAAAAAGGATGGGAGTAGGTATCAAACCTAACCCTTGAGATCAGTAATAATTTTTAAATGTTAAATTGGCTGTGGTGGTCATGCCTGTAATCTCAGTACTCAAGAGCTGAGGGACGGGTATCACCATGTGTTCAAGGCTAGCCTGACCCACACAGTGAGACCTTATCTGAACACCTCCCCCAAATAAAAATTTCTGCAATTATCTATAGAAAAATATCAAAAAATGTTAGGATATTCTTTAGCTAGGTGAACTATTTAATAAGTATTAGGTGTTACTTCGGGATAGCACCATGTTGAAATTACTAGAACACCAGGGGTAATGTGAACCACCGAAGTCTGGGAGCCCTGCTATACAGCCTTTCCTTTAAGCTTCTAAAAGTACGTATTAGCTAGTGGTGATTCCTTATTTTAGAGGGCTGTAGCTTTATGGTAGAGCATTTGCACCATCACCAGAAAGAAAGAAAAAAGGTAAAAACTATCTTCACATTGCAAAGTAAAAGATATTCCACATTTAATGACAATTCAGGCTTATAAACCACTGCTCAGACATATGACCCATCTTTTTTCTTTTTTTTTTTTTTTTTGGTACCGGGGATTAGCTCAGGATCTAGTGCTTGTGAGGCACGCAGTGGCACCACTGAGCTAAATCCCCACTCCAGCTGTAAGTTAATTTGAAAAAATAAATCAGTATAAGCTGAAACCAAGGCATTTTGAACACAGCGGGGGGAAGGTGTAAAAATTATGAATTGGCACTTAGACAAAAAGGTAGTATAGTAATAAGGGAATGTTTAGGGGTGAAATTTAAAGTAAAAAAGCTTGGTGCAGTGGTGCCTGCCTGTAATCCCAGCTGTTCAGGATGCTCAGGGAAATCTTTGTTTTTCCTGAAAACAAAGGTACGGGGGACTGAACTTGGGTCCTTGCGCTTGCAAGGCAGGCCACCCAACCGCTGAGCTAAATCCCCAGCCGACTCAGGGAACTCTTGAGTTCAAGGTCAGCTCGGAAAGAGCCAGAAACCCCATTTAAAAAAAATAGAAGGAAAGAAAATAGAACAAATTATTGCTGAATGTGCTTTAATACACACTTGGCACATTTATTTATGTAGCACTCATATTTTACATATTCTTCTGGCTAAAGCATTTAAAAACACTGCAGACCAAGTTTGAATGATATTCACTGTTAACATGCGCAAACCACTGAATATCGAGTTTTTACCTATGCGTAGATTTTTCAATTACTGTCAGGTTGACTAGGTTCACTTTCCCTAAAGATGTCTAAATTAAGTAAAAATAAAACCAAATAAACAAAAATTAGACATTTTACAAAAGTAATCTTTATATGGCTTTACAATAGCATTAAATTAAAATGACAGGTACAGGACATACTGCAGTAGCCTTAATGGTGAGATTTTGAGGAATTAAAAAGCAAATGGTAGCATTCTAATAGTAATGCAAATTCCAAGTTTTGCTCTAAAAGTTTGCTGTTAGATGCAAATTCCCTATGATGAATCTAATCATTATCTATATCTAAAATGCACCAATAAATTTAACTTAAAAAAGGATATAGCAGAAAAAAAAGCTTGCTGGGGCAAAAGAAAATACGATTAAACATTTACACTAGAATTTATTTCCAGACCTGGAAATCATGGCTAAGTTCTTTCTGAAGCTTGATCTTAATAAACTGTTTTTTCAGAATATAAAAACTTTTATATTCCCATGGGAAAAATACGTATATTTCAGCTGATTTATTTTCATTATTTAGTTTTTAATGAGAAATAAAAGGTCAAGCAACTAATACAATAATTTAAAAAATACAAAACCAAACTATTTGTTATAGTATAGTTTATTTAATACAATGTTTAACTATAAAAGTTAATACAGCTTTGAAGTTTAAATTTTGTAAAATGCAGTTTGCAGAAAACAGTCCAACAGTTACTAGACTAATGATAGAAGCAGCATTTTGAAACTAATTTTACAATTGAAGAGACAGTTTTATTTCTAAATTTCATAAAAAAATATACATCACAGTGACTTCTGAGCTAGGAAAAGAAGTGCAGTAACTTCATTATATTTTCCCTTCCACAAAAAGCAGCCACAACTTTGAATTATGTCCACACACAGAAATACCCAATTCATTTATCAGTCTCTGAAAGTACTATGAACACACAGAGGAGGAAGAAAATATACAGCATATACTTTTAAACATATAATTTGCTTGGGAAGAGGGCAGAAACAGAAGTGAACCCCACCATACCCTTCCAAACCTAAAACCAAAAAACCTTCAACTCCTTCCTACAACCTTGCTGATGGAATTCTTTGCATGTGATTTGTCATTTTTCTTTTCCTTTAATCTTTACTTTGTCATACAATAGGCCAGAGAGTTTGCCTCTACCCGAATCCCTTAAAGGCAGCTGGGAAGCCCACGGCAGCAGGTGTGTCATCCAACACTGCATTCCTCAGGGCTTTTCTTTCCCTCCAAACAAGTATTTGTAATAAAAAACAAATTTTTATAATAAGTTTATCAACCTGCAATCCATGGAGAATTTATTCAACTGTAAATGCATGAATCCTAAGAGAATAATTTAATGTACCTTCTAAGTGAAGGAAAGGCCAAAAAGTTTCTTCAGAAATTTATAAAAAAGCTCAGTGTGATGAAAATTATTCCCACCTAAAGTACAACAAAATAAAAACCATACTAACTTGCTCCAAATACTAAAACATAAATCCGAATTACCAGTTATTACTATTACCTAAAATTCTAGAAGCCCAATATGTGCATCTCCATAACATAATGAAATATTGTTTTAGTTTCACACTTTCCACTGCGCACAAGAATCAAAGGCCATTCAGCAAACCCACCGTGCATCAGTATCAGTGCAGAGAGAGATTCGGGTTTCAATTGGTTAAAAGATACTACATAACCTATGAACTCATCAACTACAGAATAAGTAAAAACTTATAAGTTTAACTGTTTATTCTCAACGGTTCATTAATCTTTCTCCAGTACCATTTTCTGGGGCAGATACCTTACATAGGGGGGAAAAAAATCACAATAATCATAAAAATTCTATGTATTGAGTTTTTTTGCACCTATCACCAATCAAGTAATAAAAATGAAAATAACTGTTAAAGAATATTAAGTCAAAGACGTATGAACTGTACACTCAGATGTAACTATAAAATCAATGTGATGGGAAATATTAAAATAGCTGATTTCTGGGCACACAATGTCCGAAGTAAACACTAAAGATGACAGAACTACTAAAAATGCAACAAAAGGAAAGGACCCCTTGAGCCTTGTGCTATTCAGATGTGAGTGTAAATCTAAGGGTACAATTAATTCTGCCTAATCACCATTTTCCAATTTTTTATACTCTGAAAATGTACTTTCTCATCTCAACTCCTTCACATGTGTTTGTGGAAACAGCCAACAAAGCTTCTATATATAATGCTTAGCATGGAGTTGTTTACAGTAACACTGCATGCACATGGAATTACCTTTCCTCTCTACGGCTACTTTTTGAAACTCAAGATTTGGAAAGTACTTGTCAATTTTCTTAATAGATAACACTCTGGGATCTTAGCATGGACTTTAATTTGACAGTTTAAAAAATGCAATTTACTGTATTTTTTAAGACAAAAATTAAAAATATATTACAGATCATAGAACTTGGTACTCAGACTCAATAATTTGTTTTTTCCTGGTACTGGGGATTGAACTCAGGACCTTGTGCTTGCAAGGCAGACACAGTGCCACTGAGCTAAACCCCTGGCCCTCAATAATTCTTAAAGTGGGTCTGTGGTCAGTTCCTAAGGAATCACTCTGAATTATAATAAACACCATCTACTACTACCACCAGGAAATAAAATTTGGAAAAAAATCCTTTCTGGATATTTGTTTCAAGATATTCCAAACAAACTTAGAGTCATTACACTATTCTGCAACAGCTACAATGCCAGATGATTACAATATTAATCAATAATGGGAAGTATTAGGCTAAGCATCACTATTCAGTACAAAAAGTACTGGGTAGCTAATGGAGTTATCAAGAATTTACCTTGGTAATAAAGTTAACACTATACTGACAAATATTAAAGTACAAAACTCTCTAGAGGCCACTACTGATTGGAATTTTGAAATTTCTTTTAAAATGAGGCAGGTTTTGTGTTTGCCGGATGTTCAATGTTTTCTTCAGAAGAGATACTACAGAAAAAAGGCCACACATCACAAAAATGGCAAAATACGATGTTTAGTGTTTAACTCTGTAAGCTACCAAATTTTGCAACTTTCTATTTTACTCTACAATGTTATACATGCCAAGTTAAAATAATGTTAACAGTAATGGTATAAAGCCATAAAGCCACCTGAATAGAAAGAAACCAGAGTCATAAACATGCTACAGCCTATCATCATACATTTATAGAAAAATTTTTTTTTTTTTTTTTTTTTTTTGCCATTTGAAACTCAACAACTATGAGAGATAAAGACACCTCAAGTTTTAAGAAAATAAAAACCATGCAGAGTTAACACTCAATGCTAGATAGGTTGGTGGCCCAAAAAAAAAAAAGAAATCTTAGAAGTTAACCTATCAATGCTAACACTTTTTAGAATCTGTCTAGCATAAGGACCCGGAGAAGCTGTATGTTTTAATGAGATTTTTTTTTTTAACTTTAGGAAAAGAAAGTAAAAATAATGTCCCATAAAACAATAATTTCAACTCTTCAGAACAAAACCAACAAAAAATTGAGAATTAACATCTGATCTTCCTATAAAACGCTGTATAACAGCAATTCAAGCTCAATTAGTGCATCAACTGAAAAAAAATTGTTTAAGATTTTTAGACAGGTGAGTAAAACACAACTAGACAGAAAAATATTACTAGGAAGATATGAAACAAGACAACTAAATATTCATCTATCTTAAAGCACAGATAACTGTAAAATCTAAAGTGATGATTTAAGATCTCAAATTATTAGGATCCTGCTTCTGTGTAATTAAAATACATTGCTACAAGCCTCTATTATAAATGCAATCATGAAATCTACACAAAATTTCCTCTAGTGGTATCTAATTACTCTAATCGCAACAAACACAAGCTTTGTAACAATCGAGTGCAACCATACGTTATGCTTATTTCCAAATGGCTGATTAAACAAATTAGGATGCTGTTGGCTGATTACTGCAACACAAAAATGCCTACATAAAAAATAGTTCAACATAGCACACAGTGTTACACCAAAATGTTTTTCTCATTTCAAGTTTATTAAAACTTTAGCAGTACAAATTATCCAGGTTGCAGATTATCAAAAGATCAACTCAATGAAGTCCACATTAAAAAAAAAATAAAATAAAAAAACAAAAGAGACATAAAACAACCCAAAAAACAATGAAAACAACATAAAAGATATTCATCAGCAAGTCTCTAAAACTTGTATTTTGAGACAGAAAGGAAATAAATTTACACAACTCATTCATCCACTTTTGTCTTCATCTGTTCCAGGGCTTGATTCATGATCATTTTTTTTGTTTTTATCATGTACATGGTCATTTTCTGGAGCTTTTGATTTTTGGTTTTCATTTTCCACTGAGGATCTGGTCTTCTCGTCCTCCTTAGTTTTTGATGCGGAGGACTTCAATTCACTGTCTTGGCTTTGTTTTATTTTTGAGAATGGACTTTGATCTCTATCAGCCTTTTTTTCCCTGTTGCTACTTGAGCTATTATGATCACGATTTTTAGAGTACATTCTTTTCTCACCCTCAGAATTTTCTTTTCTGTGTGAGCTCTTACTTTCTTGGTTTCTATGTTTTTCCTTGTTTCTGCTCTGACTTTCTTCTCTCTCTGAGCTCCGAGAATCTCTCCTCCTCCTCCTCCTATCTTTACTTCTTGATCTTCCTGGAGTTCCTCTTCTCTCTCGGCTTCGTGACCTTCCTCTTCTCCTGTACTCCTCTCTGTATCTATGGTACTCCTTGCTTCTGCTGCGATCTCTGTCATGGCTTCTGGATCGCACTCTTCTGCTCCTGTCCCTACTTCTGCTTCGTTCCCTTGTTCTACTATTGTAACTGTGTTTACCTTTAGTTCCATCGCGTTCTCTACTCCTGGACTGTGCACGTCTATCCTTTTCTTTACTTTTACTATGATCGTGCTCATTACTTTTTGATTCTATCTGCTTAGACTTCTCTTTACTTCTACTCCTTTCCTCATCTTTTCCTTTAGAATCAGATTGCTTTTCTTTTTCTTTAATATTCTCATGATCTCTTTCTTTACTCCTTGACTGCAATCTCTTTTCATCATGTCTGTTATGTTTTGAATCTCTTTCCTTACTCTTTGATTTCTCTTTGCTTTTACTCCTACTTTTAGATTTGGCCCTTTTCTTCAGTTTGTTTTTATTATATTTATCTTCTTTTTCTGAATTTCTTCTGATTTCTCTCTCTTTGCTGTCAGATTTATGGTCTTTAACTTTCTTTTCCTTTTCATCTTTTCTGTTTGGGCTTTCAGATGCATGCCTATGATCAGTTATTTTTCTCTCTTTTACTCTAACTGGGCTCCTTTGATTTTCTTTCACTTCATTCAACTCACTCCTAAAGATAAAAGGAAAATATGATTTTTTTGAAATGTTATTAGGAAAAGAACTGTAATTATTAGCTAAAAAGACACTATTTTTATTAAAGTATACAGAAATAAAATAGCTATCAGTAAAATAATTTTATGAACAATAGTTAAAATACTCATCACTACATTTGAAACCATAGTTGATCTTACTTATCCCCTTTGATCCATCTTTCACCACTGGATACCCTCATTCGTTGAGCTCTCTGCATCTCTTGCCTCCAATGTGGAGGAGTCTCACTACGTCTGAAACGATCCCTTGATCTGGATCTGGAAGGAGTTCGATAACGCTTAAGAAGAAAGAAAAAAAAAAAAAGAACATATAAAACTTTAGAAACAATACAATAGCAAAAGCATATATATTTATAGGATTTAAAAATGGCATTTCTGTGTCCTCTAAAATTACTAACATTAGGGCTGGGGGTGTGGCTCAGTGGCAGAACATAGGTTTGGCATGGGTGAAGCCCATGTTCTACCCAGGACCAATTAATTAACTGAACAATAAGTAAACAAAATTATTAAAATCCCCAATCTTTCAGGTAGGAAATCAGTAAGACAGAAACTTCAGGCATATTGCAAATTTCAAGTATGAAATATTAATCACAGAAGAAACTCTAGCCACCCATATATTCCCAGGGAAGAGTCCCTGGGATGCCTGTGCATACTAGGTATATAACTCTTACAAGCTGCCAAACGCCTGTTTGTGTTTTATTTATACTTTTTGTTTAAGTTTTTCATCTGTTTGTAATATAGCAACATTCTTTTACCACATTCTGCATTCTACCCTGGGATTTACCAACATTCTTTTTAAAATAAATTCTCACAAAAATTAAAAGTGTAAATAAGGTTCAAACTGTATAATTGATAAAGTGAAATAAGAAGAAAATGTCTAAAGGAATAGGGGAAGTGGGAAAGGCAGGGGAAAGGAAAAACTATGAGAAAAGGAAAAAATGGAAACAAAGTCTTTGTAAACAGGGAAGGGTGGAGGGGGTAAAGGGAGAGCAGGGGAATAGGGAAAAAATAAGAACCAAGATACACCATGTAGGGCCGGGGATTTGGTTGGCTCAGTGGTTCCGCCACCTGCCTTGAAAGCACAAGGGCCCGAGTTTGATCCCTGGTACCCCCCCAAATGTATATATATAAAAGATACATCATGTAAAGGTACAACATCACAATGATGAATGTAACTATAATGTGTACCTAAAATGTACCAATAAACTTAAGAAAAAAAAA